ATCTTAAGAACTCTTTTCCAAGACAGTTTTTTCTCTTTTCCCCTAAAAGCTTTGTAGTTTTGGCTTTTACATATATGTCTCTGATCCATTTTGAGTTTATTTTTGTGTAAGGTAGTCAGGGCTTAAATCTTTATTGCATCCAGTAACCAAATATCCTTGTGTTATATGCTGAAAAGGTCATTTCCCCCTCACTGAACTGTCTTGTTGAAAATCAGTTGACTAAAAATGTGTGGCTTCATTTGTGGAATCTCCTGTTCCACTGATTTCTATCAATATATACTATTGCAATTACTGTAACAAATATTTTAACAGAATAGTAATTTAATAGTGATTTTTATTAGAGTATATTATTATCCATAATATAGGTTTAATTATGACCTTTTTCTACATAATTCATACTTTGATATATTTACCTGAATTACCTTGTCCCCCAAACTCTACCCCTTTCTTCTTAAAAAAAAAAAAATCTCTCTTCAGCTTCCACTCTATTCTCTCTCTTTTTTGAGACAGGGCTTCTCTGTGTAACTTTGGCGCCTTTCCTAGAATTCACTCTGTAGCCCAGGCTGGCCCTGAACTCACAGAGATCCGCCTGCCTCTGCCTCCTGAGTGCTGGGATTAAAGGCACTCGTAAAGGCATGCGCCACCACTGCTCAGCTGATGCCAATCATTGTAAAAAAAAAAAAATCAGTGAAGGTTTCTTTTGGGCCCTTTATAACTTTAGTAAATGACTCAGTTCTCTTTCCGACTTCTTCAACTCTGTTCCAAGCATTCAGAGTGGCTGCATGACATAGAGCCAGGGTGTGGTCATCATATAGAGACTGTCTTTGTATATTAGCATAATCACCCTCTCCAAGAAGTTGGTCTTGGGAAATTTCCATACCTCTAGCCCTACTTCGTTGTTCAATGGTCTTAGCCTCATCTTTTCACCAGGTTATTGGGAGTAGACATTTAGGAATGGGGATGAGCTAGGAGGGGAGGGGCTTAAGAGGTCCATAGGAGGGTAGAAAGCAGGGTGTTCTTCATAGTCCCTTGGGAATGGAGGCACAGAGTGTGGAGAGGCTACAACAGGTGGTCTTGGGACAGAGCTGGAGATGAGACTGGGGGACTGGATATGGAGGAGGGGAGAGGTAAAGATCTGCAGTTAGCCTACCTGCTTCCCTTGGTTGTTGACCTCTTTTGGATTTAATTTTGGTGATTTGGGTGAATCTAGAAATTCATCCATTTCTGTTAGGTTTTCCAGTTACTAGAGTACAAGTCTTTAAAATGCTCCCTTATAAAGTTCTTAATTCCTTTTGTGTCTGTTATACTGTTTTCCTGTTCGTTTCTGTTCATTTGGGTCATTGCTTTCTTCTTTTGGTTAGCTGGTCGAATGGTCCGTCAGTCTTTTCAAAGAAGCAGCTTTTAGGTTCATTGATTCTTTGTGGTGTTTTCTGTTTCTATTTCATAGGTTTCTGCTCTGATTTTTATTATTTCTTGCCTCAATAGGTTTGCATTTGTTCTTGTTTTTTTTTTTTTTCCAAATTCTTGAGTTGTATCATTAGGCCATTTATTTGGCTCTTGGATTAAAATTTTTTTTTCTTTCTGATTTTTTGTTTTGTTTTTCAAGACAGAGTTTCTCTGTGTAGCTTTGTGCCTTTCCTGGAACTCACACAGCTCCACCTGCCTCTGCCTCCCAAGTATTGGGATTAAAGGCGTGTGCCACCACCGCCCAGCGTCTTTTCTGATTTTTTTTTTTTTTTTTTTTTTTTGGTTTTTCGAGACAGGGTTTCTCTGTGTAGCTTTGTGCCTTTTCCTGGAACTCACTTGGTAGCCCAGGCTGGCCTCAAACTCACAGAGATCTGCCTGGCTCTGATTTTTTTTTAATGTAGGCATTTAGAGTTACACGTTTTCATCATAGGACAATGTGCCTCAGAGGTTTTGTTGCGTTTTTCATTTAGTTCCAGGAAGTTTGTTTTTTTTTTAATTTGATTTCTTCTTTGTCCCATTAATCATCCAGCAATGACTTTTTTTTTAAAAAATTGTTTTTTACATCCTGACCACAGTTCCTCCCTCTTCTCCTTCCAGCCCTCCCACCCTCAGAAAAGGGCAGGCCTCCCTTGGATATATCAAACATGGCATATTAAGTTACAGTAAGACTAGGCACCTCCCCTTGTATTAAGGCTGGGCAAGGCAACCCAGTATGAGGAATAGGGTCCCAAAAGCCAGTAATAGTCAGAGACAGCCCCGCTCCCACTATTAGGAGTCTCACAAGAACACTAACCATAACATATATGCAGAGGACCTATGCAGGTCAGCCCCATGCAAGCTCCCTGGTTGTCGGTTCAGTCTCTGTGAGCTCCTATGAGCCCAGGTTAGTTGATTCTGTGTTTTCTTGTGTCCTTGACCCCCTCTGGCTCCTACAATTGTTTCTCCCACTTCTGCAGGATTCCCCAAGCTCCACCTAGTGTTTGGCTGTGGGTCTGCATCTGTATCCATCAGTTGCTGGATTGAAGCCTCAGGACAACTGGGCTAGGTACCAATCTGAGTATAGAAGAGTATCATTAGGCATCATTACATTGACTTTTTTTTTTCTTTTGCCAGTCCTGTTTGGTTCTATCCTTGGTCTCTGGACTGTCTAGCCTCTGGGTCCTGGCCATCCAGGCAGTGTCAGGGGTGGGCTCCCTCTCGTGGTGTGGATCTCAGGCTGAACCAGTATTAGTTGACCACTCCCACAATTTGCGCCCCCTTTATCCCAGCACATCTTGTAGGCAGTACAGACTATAGGATGAAGGTTATGTGGCCGGGTTGGTGTTCCAATCTCTCCACTGGAAGTCTTGACTGGTTATAGGAGATGGATGGTTCAGCCTCCATATCCCCTATTCAGCAATAAATTCTTAAATCTCCATTTACTAGATGTTTTTGCTGTCAGTTTTAAGTTTTACTGTATCATGGTTAGATAGGATACCTTGAATGATTTCAATCTTTTTGAATTCATAAAGATTTACTTTGTGTCTAAGGATGGTCCATTTTAGAAAAGTCTTCCATGTGCTGCTGAGTAGAATGTGTATTCTTTGGTTTGGGTGGAATATTCTATAGATATGTTAAGTCCATTTGATGTATAATGTCAATTCTGATATTCCTGATTGTTTTGTCCAGATGACCTGTCTGTTGGAAAAAGTGGGTATTGAAATGACCCGCTGTTATGGATTGAAATCAATCTTTAAATCCAGTAGTAGATTTCTTAAAAAATAAAATTGGGAGCATCACAGTTTTGTGCATACATGTTTAAGGTAGTAATGTCTTCTTGGTTAGTCTCTGATTAGTTCAATTGAAGTCTTATTTCATCAGATACTAGGACAGCAATGCCTGCTTGCTTCATGGTCCCATTCAATTGGAGTACTTTTGTCTATCCTTTTACTCTAAGGCAGTATCTATCTTTAAAACCAGATGTGTTTTTCTTTTCTTTCTTCCTTTTTTTTTTTTCCTTGGTTTTTCGAGACGAGGTTTCTCTGTGTAGCTTTGGAGCCTGTCCCAGAACTCACTCTGTAGCCCAGGCTGGCCTGGAACTCACAGAGATCCGCCTCTGCCTCCCGAGTGCTGAGATTAAAGGCACCACCACCCGGCGCCAGATGTGTTTCTTTTTTCAGATGTGTTTTTTTTTTTTTTTTTCCCCCGAGACAGAGTTTCTCTGTGTAGTTTGGTGCCTGTCCTGGATCTCAATGTGTAGACGGGGTGGGTGGTTGGGTGTTGATTCTTGGTGTTCTCAGTGGTAATTTGTCTTTCAATTATCATGACTCTGTATTTCTTTCTACAGGCTCTCTGTTATGCTCAGTCCCCTCTCTTCAGCATGAAATAATGCTTCCTGTATTTTCCTTAGGTTTAGTTTGTTGAGCATAAATTTTTTTTAGGCAGTTTACTGTTGTGGTAATTAATTCCATTCAACCAATGGCTTTTGAGGTATATGACCTGATGGGCATGGTGTTGTCTGCATATGTGACTGCTTAAGAGGAGAAAGAGGGGTTGTGCTCTCTCTTGGGTAGTGAAGACCAGGTTAGGTGGTGTCAAGCAGCTTGCAGTTGGTTCCCATCACCCTTGGACGGAATGGAGGATGACAGCTGGATAAGTGGTGGCGTTTATTTCATTCTGTATCCGTGAGTATATTATTCCCATTTCATACCTTAATAAATTCTTGAGATCCTTTGGTAGATTCTTATGGATTCACATAACAGTTTATGTTATGGAAAGATGTTTTCTCCTTCAATCGTGGCAGATAGTTTGGCTGGGTATATTAGTCCTGTTTTGGCCATAATAGTCTTTTAGGACTTGGAATGCATTGCTCCAGGCTCTTCTGGCTTTCAGAGTTTTCACTGAGAAATCAGCTGTTATTCTGATGGGTTTTCCTTTATATGTGACTTGTTGTAGCGTTCAATACACTTTGTTTTGTATACTTAATACTTTAATTATAATATGCCTATAGGGATTTTTTTCTGGTCTTGTTTATTTGGTGTTCTGTGTGCTTTTATGTATCTGTATTAGTATGTCTTTGCTTAGTTTGGGTAAATTTTCTTCTATGATGCTGTTTAAAATCTGGTATATGCCATTGACTTGGGATTCTATGGCTGTATTTCAAAAGTTTGTTTTTGTCATGGTGTCCCACCTAACCTGTGTGTTCCTTTCCTGTGTGTGTGTGTTTTGTTTTTTCATATTCCTTGCTTATTTGGTCTAAATCTTCTACTTTGAATCCTGATAGTCGATCTTCTGCTTGATTCATCCTCCTTGTAAGGCTTTCCTTTGAGTTTCCTAGTTGAGCTATTGGGTTTTTCAATTCCATCGTCATTTAACCTTGAGTCTTCAATATTTTTATCTCCCAATTGAATTTCATTCTCAAGTCTTGGATTGTCTTTGTCATTTCGATTAGCCTTATGTTTGTTTTTCTTGGGCATCACTCTGGCGTTTATTCTCCTTAGCTCTTTCTCCTTAATTTCATTTGAGCTGTTTGTATCTTCTTTAAACTCCTTGAATTCTTTGATAAAGGTTATGATTTTTTTAAACTTCTGTGTCCTGGAGTTCATCTAGGTAATTCTCATGGGCAAACATTTGTACAGGAATGATAGGATTTGGAGAGAAGATACTGGCTTGATCTTTCTTTTTTCTTTGATTTTTCGAGACAGGGTTTCTCTGTGTAGCTTTGTGCCTTGCCTGGAACTCAGAGATCTGCCTGCCTCCCGAGTGCTGGGATTAAAGGTGTGTGCCACCACCGCCCTGCGATTGTTGGTATTCTTGGGATAAGATCTGGCATGTGGATTTCTTTTGTTCTGGACAGAGCAGGTTGGGGCAGAAGAGAGGAAGTGCAGGTGGGTTGAAAATGGGTGGAATGAAGTCAGGCTGGAGAGCGGGGAATTGGGTTGGCATGTAGGATGTGTTTCTTTTTCCAAGCATAGAGACTAGGGGGTAGATTTGGCTGTGTCAAAAGGTTGGATATGGCCTGGGAGAGGCCTGTGGTTTGAGGGATAGTTATGGAAGATCCTGGCCCAAGCCTAGAGCTCCTTTGCAGTGCAGGCAGAGAAGATCAGACCCAGGCTAGATTTGGCCAGTTGTAGAAGAGGAATGGATGGGAGGTCAGGGGAACTCACCTGGTTAGAACCTGGAAGGAGGATGTGGGAAGTGTGGGTACTGAGTTGGAAGCTGCTCAGAAAGGTTCTGTGGGTGGGTGCAGGTCCTGGTGTAAGTCTAAAGCTTGGCTGTGGCACAGGCAGGGCATGGGATGGGGACCTAGGCTAGTCCTTGGAGGAGATGTGAGGAGTCTGGTTACCAAGTAGGGTGGTTGGAAGCTATGCAGAAGAGATCTGAGGGTGGTTGCAGGTAGGTCAGGTTGTAACACAAGCTCTGGCTGCACTGTGGTAGGAGTGGTCAGGACAAGGGATGTAGGACCCTGTGGAAGCCAAGAGATTAGCTACTCTGTAGGTGGGGGTCAGACTGGGCCGGGCACTGGTTTCAATACCCTGACTAGATATGGCAGGTTGTGGAAAAGGTGTGGAAGGGGAGCTCTGGTACTCACCAGGCTAATCACGGAGAACATGAGATGTCTCAGTACCAAGTGGGGTGGTAGAGGCGTCGAGGGAGGGTTCTGGTGGGAGCTTAGCAGCAGGGCAGGCGGGGTGGTCAGCTTTTGAAAGTGACCAGACTTGTAAAGGACTTCATTGAAGGTCACATTTAGATCACATTTATTGACCTAACCTTTGCTGTTATTTGTATGATAGAGTTTACAACTGGCCAAAATTAAATTTTTTTTTTTTTTTGCTGTAATCAACCAGAAAAAAATAAAGGTAATTGCATTTTCTTGAATATTCATTCAAGTTTCAATTTATTTTTTCCTTTTCAAATAAAAATCCTGTGTTGTAAGGGCTTACTTCTTCCTGCTGGAGTCATGGCTGTCTTGTGCCTGAGGAAGTTATGCTCTTAGTCAGCAGTCACTTGTGGACCCTCATTGGCTAAAATTCCAGGTATGGTGAGTAAAATTCATCTTCTATCTTCCTGAATTATATCTGGGAAACAAAAAGAGCATCTTCAACAAATGGTGCTGGTCTAACTGGATGTCAGCATGTAGAACAATGCAAATAGATCCATATCTATCACCCTGCACAAAACTCACATCCAAGTAGATCAAAGACCTCAACATAAAACCAGATACACTGAACTTGATAGAAGAGAAAGTAGGAAATAATCTTGAACACATTGACCCAGGAGACAACTTCCTGAAGAGACCACCAATAGCACAGTCACTAGGATCGACAATAAATGAGACCTCATGAAATTGAAAAGTTTCTATAAAGCAAAGGACTCTGTCAATAGGACAAAATGGCAGCCTACAGAAAGGGAAAAGATCTTCACCAACCCAACATCCGGCAGAGAGCTGATTTCCAAAATATTTAAGAAACTAGACATCAATCAAATTAAAAAATGGGGTACAGATCTAAATAGACATATCTCAATAGAAGAATCTCTAATGGCTAAGAAACACTTAAGGAGATTTTGAACATCCTTAGCAATCAGGGAAATGCAAATCAAAATAACTCTGAGATTCCATTTTATACTTGTCAGAATGGCTAAGATCAAAACCACAAGGGACAGCTCATGCTGGAGAGGCTGTGGAGCAAGGGGAACATTGCTGCTGGGAGTGCAAACTTGTGCAGACATTTTGGAAGTCAGTGTGACGGTTTCTCAGAAAACTGAGAATCAATCTACCACAAGACCCAGCTATACTGCCCTTGGGCATATACCCAAAGGATGCTCAATCATACCACAAGGACACTTACTTGCTCAACTATGTTCATAGCAGGTTTATTTGTAATAGCCAGAACCTGGAAACAACCTAGATGTTCCTCAACTGAGGAATGGATAAAGGAAATGTGGTACATTTACATAGTGTAGTATTACTCAGCTGTTAAAAATAAGGATGCCAGGAAATTTGAAGGCAAATGGATGGAACTGGAAAAGAATCATCTTGAGTGAGGTAACCCAGACCAAGAAAGAAAAAACATGGTATGTACTCACTCAAAAGTGGATATTAGCTGTAAATTTATAATCCTTTATAATCTGAGAAAGTTTGGGTCAAATGAGCAATGTGCATAAAGTCTACATGAAACATCCTTACTTGAATGTCCCTAAGCTACTTGAATATCACCTGTTTAAAATATGCTAATTAAATCACTTTTAACTGGCATCCATTAAAGGAGGTCCAGAAGGACCTCTAATTAAGCATTCTGTATTTTCAGTATGTCTAATAAGCCTTCCCGCCAATGGACGTGGGTATAATGAATTGACAACTGGACTTAAAATTCCAAATTAACCATATTTTTAAGAACTTCTGAAAGTGGTGTTTATGCAAGCCAACCTGAGCTCCTCCCCTTAAGTAAGAGCCCTCAGCATCAATCACTTGAATAAGCACTGAGTATAAGCTGGGAGGGAGTGACTGTACCAATTCCTTATTTTTTTTTTTTTTTTAAACAGATTTGACAATGGGTTACCTGCAATCACTCCCTCCTTTGCCCAGGGCTTCACACATAATAATGAGATACCTTACCACTACGCTTCACTTCTAGGCCCTGTTCTTGCTTTCCTGCCAAATACCTTCTTGTGTATTTCACAGTTTGTTTGAAAATTATTTGATAAAAATCAAATAATAAAAAATAGACACCTATAGGCCCTACCTCAAGATTGTGGCTTGCAAACCAGCTTTGCCCAGTGAGTACTGCCAACTTCCATCTGTCCTTGCTGCCATTTCCACACAAATAGGCCTAGTTCTAGACCATGGCTTGCCTGGTCTAGACCCAATCAAACAGGGCATGTACCAGCTTTATGTCACGCAGTTCTTACACTGGCCCAATCAAAAGCTGGCTATATATTTCATACATACATCCAGGCCACATTGCAAAAACAAAACTGATATGAAAAGCCAAGACATGATGTCTCCCATAAAACCTACTACTCCTCTAGAAATGTTCTCTCATGAGAATTACTTAGATGAACCCCAGAACACAGAACTTAAAAGAACAACCATAAATTTTGTCAAGGAATTTTAGTAGTTTAAGAAAACACAAAAACACGTCAAACCTCAAAAAGATAATAAATGCTTGAGGATTGGCCAAGAAAATACAGACGCAGAGCTGAATAAGTGGAATCAAAAACTCAAGAGAAAGCCATACAAGTAGAATACAGAATATCAGGACTCAAAGTAGAGGAATTAGACCATACAGCAAAGAATATGATTTTTTTTTTTTAAAAGCACAGGAAAGGAAGACAGAGGAACCGTGGGATGCCATTACAAAACCAAACCTGTGGTGATATTTTAATTGTGCTGAAATGTGATTTTATTTGTATGTTAATAAAGTTTGCCTGGAGATCAGAGGTCACAGCCAGCCAGGGACAGCAGTCAGGCAGTTGTAGCCCACGCCCTTAATCTGATCACATGGCAGGCAGAGTTCTCTGTGTGGTCAAGGACATAGCCAAGCGTGGTGACACCAGCCTTTAATTCCAGTACCAACCATAGAGACCAGGAGGTCTGTATAGACAGGCAGTGATGAGGAAGTCATGTGGTTGGGTTTAGAGCCAATCAGAAGGCAGAACAGAAAGACAATAAAAAAGACAGGAAGAAACTCTCTCAGGGGAAGCGACTGCAGCAAGTGGTAAGCTAAAGGTAGTCTTGGCTCTTCGCTAGTGCTCTGATCTCTTGGGCTTTTAATTCTGTATTTGGCTCTGTGTTATTTAATAAGACTGTTTAGAAAGTCGTCTACACAAACCTTCAAATTATAGGCATAGATGAGGAAGAAACATCCTAGGCCAATACATAGACCAGATCGTCAAGGTCATAGAAAACTTTCTAAACTAAGGAAAAAACATACTTACACAGATATAAGAAGTACATGAGACACCAAATAATAAACTCTTCATGGCATATCATAGTTAAAACACCAAATATAGAGAACAAAGAATATTGAAATTTGCAAAAGAAAAAACACAAGTAAAATATACCAAGCAAAACTATCTGCCATAGTTGAAGAAGAAAAAACTTTCCATGATCCAAATCGTATGAAAGAATTCATATCCAGCAGACCAACCCCACACAGAATACTGGCTGCAATACTTCAGACTGAAGAGAGGAATAAGCACACCCAAGAGACTGTAGAAAGAAAACAAATGAAGCTATAATTACTGAAACATTAAGAAAACAACAAAAGACGGAAACCAACATACACCTTTGGGTAATAACTTTCTCAATTCTCAAATCAAATGACAGGTTGGCTGAATGAATTAAGAAACTAAATCCATCTTTCTGTTTTTTTTTTTATTTTTTTATTTTTATTTTTTCTGGAGCTGAGGACCGAACCCAGGGCCTTGTGCTTGCTAGGCAAGTGCTCTACCACTGAGCTAAATCCCCAACCCCCCATCTTTCTGTTGTTTATAAGAAAATCAGCTTTCAAGACAGGTACCACATTAGACTAAAAAAATGAAAAAAAGTACTTCAGTCTACTGAGACCAGGAAACAAAACAGTATTGCTATCCTAATATGTGACAAAATGAACTTCAAACTAAAACTAATCAGAGATAATGAGAGATACTTCATTCTAATCAGGAGTACAGTTAACTAAGAAGACATTACTAGACTAACAATCATGCATCAAACACTATGTCACTCACTTTCATAAGAAAATCTACTACTAAAGACAGATTAACATCAATCCATTAATAGTAGGTGATTTCAATACCCCCTTTCTCCAATAGGTAGGTCATATGTACAAAAAAGTCAGAAACATCAGGTTAATTGACATCATACATCAAATGGACTTAGCAGATATCTACAGAATATTCTACTCAAACACTGAAGAATATACATTCTACTCAGCAGTCTACAAAAGCATATTTATAATAGACCACCTCCTGGGATACCAAACAAATTCAGAAAATTTGAAACTACTCCTTGTACTCTGACCATTGTGCAGCAAAACTTAAAATCAATAGCAAACAAACTCATGGAGCTTAAATAACTCATTACTAAATGATGAAAGTTCCTAGAAGAAATCAAGGAAGACAATTACTGTAGCTAAATGAGAATACAACAGAACCTCTGGGACACATTGAAAGCAGACCTATGAAGAAAATTTATAGTTCTGAGTTAAAAAAAAATCAGAAAGACCACACATAAATGACTTAATGATACCACTCAAGAATTTGGAAAAGCAAGAACAAACCAAACCTAAATCCCATAGATGGCAAGAAATAAAAAAGATGAATTAATGAAATTGAAGCAAAGAAAACAATACATAGCATGAGCCTAAGAGCTGGTTCTTAAATAAATATGCTCCACAGACCAATGGCTCAGCTAACCAAATGAAAGAAATGACTCAACAGAATCAGAAATGAACAAGGAAGCATTACAACAGACACAAAAGAAATTCAGAATGCTATAAAGGTATACTTTAAAACCTGTACTCTGGCCAAGTGGTGGCACATGCCTTTCATCCCAGCACTTGGGAGGCAGAGGCAGGTTGATCTCTGAATTCAAGGCCAGTCCGGTACAGAGTGAGTTCCAGGACAGGCAGGGCTAAACACACACACACACACACACACACACACACACACACACACACACACAAACTGTCTTGAAAAATGAAACGAAAAATCTGTACTCCCAAATCTCTATCTAGGAAGCTAGTATTTCCCTAATACTAAAAGATCAGGTAAAGACAGAACAACAGAAAAGAAAATTATAGGTCAATATCCCTGATGAACATCAATTCAAAAATCAACCAAATACTTGCAAACCACGTACAGATGTACATTAAAAAGATTATCCCCCATGACCAAATTGGCTTTATCCAGGAGATGCAGAGCCAGTTCAACATATATAAGTCAATAAAAGTAATAAATCACATTGATGGATTTAAAGACAATTCACATTGGCCATCTGAACAGATGCAGAAAAATTGTTTTTACAGTACTCAAAAGTTCTAGTTGCATTAATGAGGTCAAGAAAGAAGTCAAACTATCCCCATTGCAGATGATATTATACATTAGAAATGATCAACGATTTCAGCAAGTGGCAGAATACAGAATCAACTTGCACAAATCAATAGCTTTTCTATACACCACCAACAAAAACACAAAGACAGTACACATTCCAATTCACAATAGCCGTAAAGAAAAAAAAATCCAGGAATAAACTTACTTAATCAAAGAGGTAAAAGACCTCTACAATTAACACTGTGAAAATTAACATTCTACCAAAAGCTATTTTACAGATTCAAAGCAATCCGAATCAAAGCCCCCATCTCATTCTTCACAGCAATAGAAAAAACTATCCTAAAATTCATATGGAACCACATAAAACTCTGGATAGCTAAAACAATCCTGATCATAACAACACTGGATGGATTACAATTCCAGATTTCAAGATATATTACAGAGCCATGGTAATAATATGGTACAGGTACAAAAACAAACAAGTAGACAGGTGGAACAAAAATCAAAGACCCAAACATAAGTACATGTACCTTCAGCCACTTAATATTTGACAAAGATGCCAAAATGATACTGGAGAAAAAGCATCAACAGATGGTGCTGGGAAAACTAGATGTCCACATGTGTAAGAATGAAATCAGGCCCGTATCTATCATTTCACACAAAAACTAATTCCAAATGGACCAAAGACCTAAAAGTGAAACCTGAAATCCCTAGAAGAATACACAGGTTGTACTCTAAAATGACATAGGTGTAGGAAAGGACTTCCTGACTAGGACTCCATTTGCCCAGGACTGAAGGCCACAAAACGGAAAAGCTTTCGTAGTATTGGGAGGTACTATGCAAACTGCCACGGGAGGGAAGCAACTGAAGTGATACTCAGCTGTGGTACCTACTGTGAACTACAACAATCTCCAGCATTGCAAGTTATCCCTGAAGGGCAATGGAGGCACTCTCATCTTAGAGGTAACTAGCAGCTGTCTAATTAGACTTAAGGTCCATTCAACAGGAGGGAAATCACAATCATGTTTGTTAGGTAAAACCTAGCCAACTACCCAGGGTTGATGAGGTCATGAATCTCAAGGGAGAACCTATTACTGGTACCTTTAAACCAACATAATCCCTACATGCATTCTGAATACTTCTACCACAGCTAAGTATAGCTTCTCATTTCTCACCAAAGAAAACTTTTCTTAGCTGTAGACAGAGACTATCCAGAAAACCACAACTGCTCAAAATACAGTAAGCAACGGATCATGGGGTGCCCATCCCCAACAGCTACACCTACAACACAAGTGCATGGAGGAGGGCATGGGAAGACTGTAAGAGCTGGAGGACTAGGAGGGACTGTGTCTACAATATGGCAGCCTGAACAAGAACAGCACCAATAGACATGCTAACATGGAAGGGGAAAAACTGAACAGGGCCCCACCTGTACCCAAAGAACTGCTCACAGAGAGTGAGTTAGTCTTCCTTACCTCCAATCGCCAAAGCAAAGGTAAGGAAGACTTTCTTTCCTTATTACATATGCTTATTTCTGTGCTGCTTAGCTTTTATAGTAAAGACAATTTTGAGTTAAGAAAATACCCAAGAAGTTTTTTGATTTTAATATTAAATCTCTATCTAGCTGAGCTCATGAAGTGGCATGTGAAATGAGAAGGCAGGAAGAGGTGCAGTTAAGGGACATTCTGATGGCCAGCTTGCAAGAGACAAAGACTTGAGCTGTGTCTCTGGAAGCAGGTATTCAACACAGACATGCAAATTTACCTGCTTGTCTGCAGTGAGGTAACTAAGATGCTGGCTATGAAGAGTTTAACTCCACTCTCAGGGACAACAGTATGAGAAGGCTCATGATAGGTCACTGCAGTGAACTGCTACTTCCTGGGAGGAAGCCTGATCAGGTGGGACAAGTGGGATGGCCTGAGAATATCCTGGAATGTAAGAACCAGAACTGCTAGTCTTCAAAGGAAGATCTGCAACAAGGATGGGCACAAAGTAAAAGTGGACAGGTAGCAGCAGAGGCAGCTGAGGACTAGTGGATAGTTGAGTCTTTAGCAAGCTGGAGTAAGCTTGAGGTTTGCACCTAGTTTTTAAATTTTTAAACTTGTGGCTAGGGCATAGTTCAGTGGGAGAACACTGGCCGAGCACTTATCAAAAGCTCACACAAGTAACAAAATAGATACAATCCAACTCACCATGCTTGTTAGCAGCTGGTTCTAAATATAATGGTTAAATTTTCAAGATCTTCACATTTTAAATGCAGTTCTGTCAGCAGGGTGGCTATAAACTGTGTAAATACCACATTTTTTGGAGAATGCTTCTGAATGCCAAGAATCGGTGTCAGTCTGAAACGAATAATAGTAAATGCGTATGAGGAAATGAGAAGGGCTGAAGGACACATCTTCAACTTGGCACGGTGAATCTCCTGACAAGGAAGAGGTTTCTCTGAAATAATAAAATTCCTAAAGAAAGGCTTTACTAAGGTAAAAGTCTCAGAAGATTGAAAGACCAACAAACACTGTTCAATAAGGAAAGAAGTCTATATACCTGTACTTATTAACATCCTCATTAAGCCAGCAAAAATTCTTAGGATAAAAGGAAAATGAATAAAATTTTAATTTGTAGAATGGAGGTGATGGGGAGCTTTGGAAACAAATCTATATAGAATGTTTGGATTATACCCCTCCCCCCAAAAAAATAACTGACAAAATGCAAGATTACCTTTTGGGATGAAACTTTTTAACATTTTAAATTTTAAAACATTAAATAATATTATAAGGCATTTAATACCAATTGCATGCTTTTTTCTTTAAAGCACTTCTGATATATCTCTCTAAAAACTGACTACATGTAATGGAGACTTTAGTTTTCAAATGTAATCAACTATAATGTGCTGTGACTGAACTCAAGGCTTTGTACATGCAAGACAAGCTATATTCCAGGCACTAAGGTTTTAATAAAGCATGCAATATAGAAAACCCAAGACCACTGAGTACACTGCTGCCTGGCACTCAATTCCTCTTCCACAAAGAACCAAAGCAACAGGTATACACATACATTAAAATGAATGGTTGTGGGAGAGCAGAGGAAATCAAGACTGAAACTTGGAGGATCAAGATACCTGGAATAAGAGCACAGTGAGGGAAGGCACATATAAATTCTCTTGTACCTGCTACCGCAGCTCCACTGTCCAGGAGGAAGGAGTTTTTGCAGAAAGAAGGGTCAAAGTGTCCCAGAAAACTAGTCATGAGGATGCTGGCAATTCTAGCTACTGGGAAGTTTACCATGCTCTTAGGCTAGCAACCCACTTAGATAAGTAATCTAAAATATGCACAATAGAGTCTCATACCATCTTCCCCAGGTGCCTTCAAGGTGCCATGCCAGGGGCCATTCTGGGAAGTGAGATAGGAGTTTGAACTAATAGGGAGTTGAGAGAGGCCTGCTATTCTCATGTCTGGGCTTCCACAGACATTCTGTTGCACTATATAGGGTTTAGCTGCCTTGCCAATTCAACTTGGCTCAGCAGGATAACTATTATCTAAGCCTGTGAGTACACTGTACTGTGGAGGATAGGTATTGTGACCTGCAGAACTGAAGGTGCTATCTTTGAGAACCAGGATATTAGAGTGCTTGCCCTGAGATCAAAGATATGTATGGACTTGTGCTTCTTCCAAGACTGAAGGCCAATGCCCACTTTCCCCATTGTGTCAAAGCTAGGTGCCTGTTACTGTCAGGACAGGGAAAATCAACATCGTTAGCCTGGGTGTCATGAGGGAGTCTTGAGCAATTCTGGTCCCAGCTGCTGCCCCATCCCCAGATAAGGGGGATCAGAGGAGAACACTGCCCAACTTTGTTAGCCCTGCTCTCAGTCAGACACTGCCACTGAAGCAGCTGGGAGCACACGTGTAGATTTTGTTGTTACACTTCTTGGTAGCTCCCACTACTTCCTGCATCTTGTCTGCACTGCAGTCAAGCCTCCATGAGTGCCACAGAGGAAGCACTGAATCTTTTAAGTGCCCTCTATGTGGTGTTTGTTGGAGATTGATGGTTTCAGACACCTCTTGCTAGTAGTGGAGTCGGCATTGAAATACTCCAGGAAACCCTTACTACTGGGTAGGGCCATTATGCCCACTGTAGGGGTAGTGACACACTGGATGCCCACACCCAGTGTTCTCTATTGCTGGCATGTGGCCTGTAGAGATAGTGGCTCTGTGACAGTTATACACTGTGCCCAAACTCACTAACCACAGTTAAAGAAACTATAGTTAAATGACAGTATGGTCTCCAGCTAGACAAACCATCAATGACTGTGTAACAAAATGGCACCCCAAGATACGTTTTCAAGAGAAAGCTTCTTAAGCACTTCATAAAAATGGTAGAGATATCTATCTACTAAATATATAAACCCCAGTGAAGGAATTCAACAAATAGGAGGGACAAACACACACCCCAAGGTGATATGATGGCACCAAAAGAACTTTTTTGTAACTTTTTTTTTTGTGTGTGACAACTTACACAGCCTTGAGGCAGGGGGGATGTGGTGATATTGTGTCCCCCCAAATAGTGTGCACCCTAATAAACTTATCTGGGGTCAGAGAACAGAACAGCCACTAGATAGAGGACAGAAAATGGTGGCACACACACCTTTAATCCTAGCATTCTGAAGGCAGAGATCCATTTGGATCTCTGAGTTCAAAGCCACACTGGAAACACCCAGGCATGGTGACACATGCCTTTAATCTCAGGAAGTGACGGCAGAAAGCAGAAAGGTATATAAGGTGTGAAAACCAAGAACTAGAGAGCCTGGTTAAGCTTTTAGGCTTTTTTTTTTTTTTTTTTTTTTTGGTTTTTCGAGACAGGGTTTCTCTGTGTAGCTTTGCGCCTTTCCTGGAACTCACTCTGTAGACCAGGCTGGCCTCGAACTCATAGAGATCCACCTGCCTCTGCCTCCTGAGTGTTGGGATTAAAGGCGTGCTGCGCCACCACTGCCCGGCTAGCTTTTAGCAGTTCAGCCGAGATCCATTTGGATGAGGACTCAGAGGCTTCCAGTCTGAGGAAACAGGATCAGCTAAGGAATTGGCGAGGTGAGGTTAGCTGTGGCTTGCTCTGCTTCTCTGATCTTTCAGTGTTCACCCCAATACCTGGCTCCGGCTTTGTTTTTATTAATAAGACCTTTTAAGATTTGTGCTACATTTGGTGCCCAATGTGGCAAGAATTCATTAAAAAAACCGTTGGTGGTCTTACAGGCCAGGGATTACAGGCCCCAGGCCCAGCCGGAGCTACAAGCGATCCGGCTGCACGAAGTCAAAGCTGCACTTGACCGTAGCTACAAGCGGTTATTACACACAGCTGGAGCTACTTTCGGCCAGATCACCAACTCACATGGTCGGAGCTTAAAGGAGCCGTAGCTCAGGCCTGAATCGGCTGGACTTCAGCTTTTAGCTTTTTTTCTCTTCTGGTAGGTAGTAGGTGTTTTCTTTCGGGGAGAGGCTTGGACCTGCCTCTACTGAATATACCAGGCTCTGCTAACTCCCCATGGGAGGCCTTACCTTCTTGTAGGAGGAGTTGGGGTGGGAGGCTGGAGGGGCAGGAGGAGGGAAGAGGGGAATCTGTGATTGGTATGTAAAATGAATAAAAAATTTCTTAATAAAAATTTCATATTGTATGTACATGCATATATGGTATGTGTGTTTGGGAGCATGTGCTGTGGCATGCATGTGGAGGTTAAAGGACAACTGTGGAGTTGATTCTCTTTTTCCTCCTCTTACATGGGTTCTGGAATGGAAAAGTTGCCAGGTTTAGGCAGCAAGACCCTTGACTCACTGAGCCACCTCGACCCCAAGAACAAGGAAGTGTTTATCAACAGATTCCAAAGAGTTCAAATAGATGAAATGCTTGATAAAGAATTTAAAAATAATAATTATAAAATATCTCAATTAAAAACCTATGGGAATAAGGTTAATAGCTAAATATAATTAGAAAGACAGTACAGGATATATATATTAGAAATATTGCAAAAAAAATTTTGGAAAAAAAACCAAAACCTCAAACAAATTTTGGAAATGAAGATCTCACTAAGAACAAAACACACCCAACACCAACCAACTACCCCAAACCAGCTAAGACCCAAGAGCTGACAATATAAAATGGAACTTGAACTTGGGTCTTCTAAAAGATCCTAGTCAAAGCTGTGTGTGGCATCTACACTTGTGATCCCAGCATTTAGGAGACAGAAAATCAGAGAGATTGTCTATGAGCCTGATGCCAATCTGGTTTACATGAGTTCTGGAGCACCAAGACTACAGCTACATGGCAAAGTCCTGTTTTGAAGAACCACAAGCAACCAATCTTTCAAAAAAAAGAAACTGAAGGAATCCAGGATCACCAGACCAACTTATAAAAGATGTTTAAGAGAGACCTATATCCACAAGGAAAAGCAAGATAAACCTCCATCATGGAAGCACACAGAAAGATAAACCCACTAGAAGGAGGAATAGGTAAGAATACTGTTTATAGTATACATAACCAAACCATAAGATGAACCAGAAAAATAACAAAGAATATTCAAAACAAGTAAAAGATAACAGCAGCCAAATTGATTAAATTACTATTAAAAGATACAGAATGAGCTTGTCCTGGTAATGCATACCTGTAATCCCTAGGACTCAGGAGGCTGAGACTGGAGGATTGCTGTGCCATCAAGGTTAGTTAGCCTGGGGTGCATAGTGAAACCTCATCTCAACAAAAAACAAAAGATACAGATTGTCTAAATGGACTAAAAATCAAGACCCTATTGGGTATGGTAACACATTGTAAATCAGCACTCAGGAGTCTGAGAAAAAAGGATTGTGAGTGAGGCCAGTCTAGGAGCTAAACAGTAAGACCCCGCCTTAAAAAGGAAAACAGACAAATGAGGCCCATAATATGCTGGCTAGAAGAAACTCCCTTTACCAGTAAGGACAGAGTGAAAGGCAAGGGATGGAAAATGGAAATAAGGCAACAACAGTAGTTACTTTTGCCTGACAAAACAGACTTTCAACAAAAATTGATGATGAGCAGTAGGCCAATGAATTCATGAATCAATTCAACAAGGAAATTTAAAAGTGATACATTTATATTGTTAGAGCACACTACTGTATGAAACAAACACTATTAGAAGAGACTGGTTCCAGTACAACAACAGTGAGGTATTTTAGTATTTTTATTAACGGGATCAACCCCTCCCCAAAGTATCAAGAACCGTAAGTGTTAACCTGTATTATATAGCAAACAAACCTAACAGAACAACAGCCAAAGAACACAAATTCTACTCCTCAGCACGTGGAACTTTTTGCAGAATGGATCC